GATCCCTAACATGATTCCCTAAACCCAAACCCCTAAAACATACTCCATAAAGAAGGGATACGTATCGGATGGTCCAGCGGGCTGAGGCTGCCCAGCTTCTGCTGCAGGGATTCATAGGGTTGGGGTTTAGGGTTTAGGGTTTAGGGTTTAGGGTTTGGGGTTTAGGGTTTAGGGTTTAGGATTTAGAGTTTAGGGTTTAGGGTTTAGGGTCAAACTAGGGAAAGTTCAGGGTTGAGGGAAAGTTTTGGGTTTATTGAGAGTCTTGCGCTTAGCATACAGAGTTTCGGGTTTGCGGTCTGTGGCTATACAACTTGTTGAGGATACGTGAGAGCTTTTGATTTGGTCTTTCAAACTTGCTGAGGCTATTTGGTTGTTGTTGAAAGTGCTATCTGGGTCGCGTGTATACCCTGTTCAACTTTTGCTTTTATAATTTAACTGTTGGGGCTTTTAAGGGTTTAGGGTTTAGGGTTTACGGTGAGGCCTCTGTACAAGTTGTCTAGTCTGTTCCCAGCTGAGGATGCAGTGGCTTGTTTGACGAACCAATTCATGCATCCATCTGAGTACATACTTTGACCCTACACCTATTATATAGGGACTACTTTACGGCCTAAGTTTAAGTTTATAAATGTCTATACTATACTACTATATGAGCCCCTAAACCCTAAACCCCTAAACCCCCAGAGAGCATATGGACCCTGAGGGATTTTTCTTTCACTCAAGGAGTATTGGGTTGTCAGCGGCGTCTCTTGGGGTCGCACGGAGTCACTCCAGAAGGTGCAAACTGAGGGCCGGCAGGCTAATGTAGGGGCCCTAGTAAATAGAATAGGGTTTTGGGGTATATTATACTACCCCCCCCCCCCCCCCCCCCTCCGCCCGAAAAAATAGTATTGGTAACTATTTAGGCTCCTGTATTCTGTGGATCGTAGCATCTCCCACCCCCAAACCCTAAACCCTAAACTCACGGCTTTGGGGGCTCCATCTGCGGGAAAGATTTGCCGGAGGCTTCCAGGATCGATTGCCGCAGGTCGTTGGGCCTTCGACGTGCAATTAAAAAGAAGCATGCGGTTTAGGGTTCAGGGGGTTGAGGTTTAGGGTTTAAAAGGAAGCATGCGCACAGAAATTACCCCCCCAAACCTTTAAACCCTGTGAACCATTGCACGGAGCGGATCCTGTTTATGCGAAAGTTCTAGCCCGACACCTTTCGGACCGACTTGATAAGCAACAGTTCAGCTCGAGGTCAAGCTACCCCAAAGCCTGCACGTACCTACTCAAGACACACACCAACATAAAGTACCTTAATTTTAGCATTGGGCATGGCGGGACCCTCCGAATGTGGCTTAAGAGCATGCCCTGTTGAACAGACCCTAAACCCTAAACCCTAAACCCTAAACCCTATTTAACAAAACCGAGGAACCCCGGGGTCCCGGGCACATTCGGCGGTCACCACCAGATGATCAATCTTCCGACAGTCGTGGGCATCCGCGGGACACCTGGCAAGCACACGGGCTAGGGTTTAGGGTTTAGGGTTTAGGGTTTAGGGTTTAGGGTTTAGGGTAGTGCTTCTTGGGGCTGACTTTTGGAGTTTGGCTCATGTACTACCAGGACCTATCCTGGGAGGGCTTCTGGTCTAAGTCACTTGGTTTGTGATTTTGGGGTCCCAACGTGCTTTGGGGTTTGTTTGGCTGACTGTGCTACCGGTACAGCATGCAGATGTTTGAGCCATGCTGAGAGAAGTTGTCAGACAATGCTGCTTGGAGTGGCCCTACTGACTTCCAAGAGAAACCCTGCGGCAAACCCTTAGCCCAAAAGCCTAAACTTGCCTGAACCCTACATGTTGTTGGTTCAAATTCACTTGGCTGACTTCTGAACCCCTGCTAAAAGTTTAACGTTTAGCTCCCTTGTTATAGTTCATATAGAAACCCCAAAAGTTAAAGTCCTAAGAGCCAACCAGAAGAAAGCCAAGTTCAGGCACCTAAACCCAACATGGGTTCAGATTCACGAGGGCTTGGGTCGCCGCCTAGCAGAACTCGGCGAGCCGACGTGGATGAAGGACTCGCTGTGGTGAAGCTGGAGAAAGGATTGGAATACCTGCCGCTGGTCATGCTAATTCGGGTTTAGGGTTTAGGGTGCTAACCTTACTTAGGGTCTGGGTTTTACGGGTTTAGAGTTCCTTTAATTTAAGGCTTCGCGATCTAACTCGCGACAGCAACCGTAAAAGCCACAAGGAAGGGCCGTACCAGCAGGGCTCCCCAAACCTGAAAACCTTAAGAAATCCCAACCAGCCCGAAATCCTCAAAGTCAGAGTCGCTGTTTGTTCCGCCCCGCCCCCGCATGGCCCGAGTTTTGCTCCCTAAAGCCTCTTCAAACTGCAGCCCCCCACCCGGAGCCTAGAACTCGAAAAAAAACCCTGAAAGGTGAAACCCTAGACCCCCAAAAAACCGTACAAAAACCCTGAAAGGTGAAACCCTAAACCCTCCAAAAACCGTACGAGGAGTATTTGGCTCATGTCTGTGGCGATCCTTGACTGGAGTGATCGGGTAGTCGTTGTCGTTGAGGTTGATGAAATAGTCCCAGGACCCTGCCTCTGTGCGGATATCTCGAGGACTAGGGTTTAACGTTTAGGGTTTGGGGTTTAGGGTTTGGGGTTTAGGGTTTGGGGTTTAGGGTTTGGGGTTGAGGGTTTGGGGTTTTGGGTTTAGGGTAAAGTTTAGCGTTTACAGTAGAAGCCCAAAAGTTGGAAGCCAAATAGCCTCAATCCCTGAGAGTAATGTATAGGGAAACCCAGGCATTATATGTCCTTAATCCGGTTTCTAACTTTTTGGGGTTTACTATAGGGGATGAGAAAGTTCCTGGATCCCTGCCGGTGGAGACAGGGGTTCGGGTTGGGAGGAGGGGTCATTCTCAGTGCGAATGAGGGTATAGGGTTGAGGGCTTCAACGCGACATGTCTAAGTACCTGCTGATGACGTCTCCATCAAAAATACGAACCTACAGCTACTAGCCGGAGTTAAGTATGGAGCAAATGCAAATCTGGACATAGAAGTGACCAAGGAGAAAGCAAATATAGACTGGTATTTCGCCATGGCTCCTTTAAGGAATAGGTCCAAAAACAGCATACAGGTATGGTACTACAGAGCCCAGCACACTCTTGAACTGAAGAGATCTTCAGTGGAAAGTGAGGATCCTAGCCTAAGAATGGTTAACCTTAGGATTTAGGGTTTAGGGTTTAGGGGTTTAGGGTTTAGGGTTAGGATTTAGGGTTTAGGGTTTAAGGGTTTAGGGTTTAACCTTAGGATTTAGGGTTTAGGGTTTAGGGGTTTAGGGTTTAGGGAACCTTTTAAACCTACTCAGTCCCTCAGGTTTATTTCCCCAGCAGAAGGCCCAACAACTCAAACCAGGTTGGCTCGACATTAGACTCACAACCTTGAAACCAAAACACCGCAGCAAGACCCCTCTTCAGCCTAGTAGGCGCTAGGGCTGCATGGACAGTTGTCCTACCTGTGACTGTGATGCTCGATCCCTCAAGCAGAAGCCCGAGTCGTTAAACAATGAAAATACACCACTTATAGGGTTTAGGGTGTATCTCTTAGAGTTTAAGGCTAGGGGTTAGGGTTTATGGCCTATAGGGTTTAGGGGGTGCAGGGCAGCCTTAGGTTGCGAATGTGGAGTTTAGGGTGCAAGCAAAAACCTTTCCTTGGTCATCCTATAAACCCTAAACCCAGATCGCTCATCCCTAAACTGCCTGATAGGACAGCACAATGATAAAATAGGTAAAGCTTAAAGTTGGTGATAGCCACTGAGATCACACGCACTGACAATACCGTTAAGTGTTGACCAGAATTTAATATGCCATGGCACAGCGAACTTCTTTTCTAGTCAGAGCACTATATAGCAACGGTCATCCATGCAATTG